GAAGAAGAAAAATGGAAAATAATGATTAAGAGAAGAAAAGGAACGAGGAAGAAGAAGAAAGAAAGGGGGAGAAAGAGATTTTTGTGTTTTCTCGGGACTAGGGTTTTCACCCCGGTCGAGAGGTGGTCCCAAAGATTTTTCCTGATTAAATATATATAGTCGCACGTTGGCACGGTGTGGAAAGATGGCGCGGCGTGAGAGAAGTGCGCTTCGCGGCGTGGTGGGGTGTTGTGCCGCGGCGTGGCGCGCTGAAGGCTGGGAGCTGCAGTCGGGGTCGTGGCAGGGGCGCGGCGTGGTGGATGAGCGCTCCGCGGCGCGGCAGGGCTTCGCGGCGCGGTGAAAGGGCGCTCCGCGGCGCGGCAGTGCTTCGCGGCGCGGTGGATGGGCGCGACAGCTCGCACTACTTCACATTTTGGAGTCGTTCGGGCTCGTGTGGTATCGGAATTGAGTTCCGTTTTTTTCTGTGTGTTCCCAACGAACTCCTCTATCTAATTACGCTTGCCCAACTGACTTTTGTCCAAAATTCGATCTTCCCAAAGCTTTCGACCTACACACCATAAACGAAGAAAAACCGAAAAAACATACGGAAAACACATAGAAAACCAAAATGGAGATAAACACACAATAAACTATAAGAACTAATAAAAACCAACGAAAAGACCTAAAATGGGGGAAAAAGAAAGATAAAATAAGTACGAAAAATGCAACAAAAATGGGACAAACACTTCCGCAGACAAGATCCGACAGTGGCAAGTGACTTTGCGTGGCTGACGGTGGCCCTCGAACCACCATGGCACTTACACTGACACAATCAGGCTGCGCCCATCGAGCGGCTCCGGCAATGGAACAGCCAGTTCGGTGGCCGGTGGTGGTGTAATGAGTGAAGGGGTTGCGGATGAGGTGCTGTTAGGTGATGAATCCCTAATTTGGGGGCTAGGGTATTTTAGTGAAAATTATGTACATTATAGGACCAATTTACAATTTTTAAGAAGATTAAATATATTGCACGCTAATTCATGGAGGTAAATATTTAATTTATAAAAAAAAAATCTAATCTATTAAGAATATTGATACATAATTGTACATAATTGCAAAGAAATATTAACATTAAACATAATCGGATTCGATAGACTGCATAATAACGTTATAGAAAATGCACATTATTGATTTTAATATCTTTTTAATATATATTTTCAACCTAAAATGGTATAAAATATTAAATAATAAATATATTTTTATAGTATAAATAATAAATTATTTTGAATGAATACTAATAAATATATTGCAGTCTAATTCATGGAGGTAAATATATAATTTATAAAAAAAAAATCTAATCTACTAAATGCATAATATTGATATATAATTGTACACAATTGTAAATAAATATGAACATTAAACATACGCGGGATCGATAGACTGCATAATAATGTTATACGAAATGTACATTATTGTTTACGGGGATGCACATTATTGATTTTAATATTTTATTAATATATATTTTCAACCTAAAAAATAATATAAAATAACAAATATTAAATATGTTTTTATAGTATAAATAATAATTTATTTTTTATAAATACTAAATAAATTATTGTTATAGTTTGGTTTGGTTTCAACTTTATTTTTAAAATAATGGAAATAACCAAAATTTTATATTTCAATTCGGTTATCTGTATTTTACTATTAAATCACGAATGTTTCAATTCGATGCCGTCTTATTTTTTTTTCTTTATTTTTTATAATAACCGAATAATATGAAAAATATTATTTATATTTGTTATTTTTTTTATGTATAAAGGTTACACAGTATGGTTGTGTGAATTGCATCTTAGTGACTATTAGATTGCACATTAATGCTTAGTAGAGTGCACACTATTGATCGAGAACGACCGAACTAAGATTTTTTCGGTTCGCTCGATTTAGTTATCTATTTTTTACTTTTAAAAGCTTGAATATTTCAATTATATGTCGACATTATTATTTAGACGGCCAAAACAACCAAACTGACCAAACGATAAACAGTGCAAAATATGTAGTTTAATAAAATTATGATGTATTTTTTTAATGTGCATCTTAACCCATAATATTGTGCATTAATTAGGTCATTAATGTGCAGTTGTTAAAGTTTTAATAAATTACAAGAATGCCACACATTAAAATACAAAAAATTAAAAATTTACATCCAAGTCCCTCTAACTTGTTCAATTCTCAATGATAAGTCCCCAAACAAAACAAATAAATTGCGTCAAAATAAATTCCCATCCCTCAGCAATCAACCCCAGACCAACGCCCTCCGACTGCCGCCATCTGCCCGCCGCTCGCGGCCGCCCGATCTCTGTCCGTATGCGCCGCCGATGTTCAGCGTCTGAGACGGAGAGCTTGAAGCCTCTCACTCCTTCCTTGACGCCAGGCGGCTGCCAACTCTCCGTCGACCACAGATCGTCGTTCATCTTCCTCCGCCTCTGCCGCCGGAAAATAATCCCACTGCGACCCGCAATCGGCACTGAGCCGTCAATTTCTTCTCTGCTGTGTTAGATGCCCTCTTCGCCGGAAGTCCAAGAGCCAGTTGCAGCTGGTGACGGGAGACGGTTGCGGCGGCAATTCTCTCAGTCGCCGGCGACAGGACCGGTGGATCTGACCGGCGTTAACTGTTGGTGGAGTGTGTGTACTGTGTGTGTGTGTGTATGTTTGTGTGTGAAAATGAGAGAGAGATATTTAGGCTGATTGTGGTGGGCCCATTATTGATTATAATTTGTTGTTCTTTTTAATTATAATTTATTATTAGTGACAAAAATACCCTTAATGAGTGTTAAATGACCAAATTATCCTTAATGAATTTGACTTTAATTACTAACTTTGACTTCATCATGACCACTAATTTGCTAGATCTAAAGGCCTACATTTATTCTTATTTCTTTCACTATGACTCATTCTCATTTGAGGGCACTTATATATATATATATATAGGATCACGCTCCGGTGAGAATGACTCTTAATGCGAGAAATAAGAATACATCCTAACCATTAGATCAGGCAATCTAATGGCTTAAAAAAATGCATAATTATACCGTCATTAAGGATAAGATGGTAATTGACCCCACCAAAAAAATAATGGGACCCACACACACCACACCAATTTGCCACGACACGTCACCCACTAACCCCTCGATCTCCCTCATTAACTCTCTCTCTCTCTCTCATCATTAAATTTCTCTTTAATTGAATCATTATTTATCTCTCACTCACACACACCCCGTCACACACACTCACCCTTCCGCCGACAGGACCGTCACCTTCAAACAGACGGACACCACGACGGCGCTGTCGCCTCGCCCAGAATGCCGCCGGCACCACCGCCGTGTTTTTCATCGATCTACCGCCTTCAGAGCCGATACATATCCGTCGCGCCTTCATCCCGCCGTCCATTGCTGTCATCAACTCCGACGACCACCTTATACGCCGCCGTCTGGTCCAGCGGCAGAGCTTTCGTCGTCGTCGTCCTCCCTCCGTCGGGAACTGACTGTAACGCCTCTATCACTTCCTCCCCGCAGATCTCAGCCGCCTGCAAGTGTGAAGGTGAAGGCGCCTCCGACCACCTTCACCATCGTGGTCTTCACTCCTTCCCGTTGCAGCCACCGTTCTTCTCCGTCGTCCACCATAGGAGAAGAGTTCGCCGGCGGCAATTGCAGGGGCTGATGTGATGGGAGACCATGGATTGAGATTGAAAATTTGGAATTGGGGTTTTTGTTTTTGATAATTTGATATCTTATAGGGGTTTTATTGCAATTTTTATAAATTTTAATATATTACAATTTAGTTTATGGGTTGAATTTGTAATTTATTAGGAATTTATTAAATGCACATTAATTTCAATTAAAATAATGTGTATATGCACATTACAAAATTTCTCACTACACTATACAATAATAATATACAAACTGAACCAAAAATCGAAATATCGGAATCGAACAACTAATAAAAAATATTGTTTTGTTTTTTCCTTATAAAATATAAAACATATATTTATTACTGTCCAGCAAAAATATACATATATATGATATTGAATAAAAATGTTAAACACGGACATGTTTTTATAATAATAATAATTTTTTTTATTTTTGGTTATTATGACTAATTCGGTTAACTGACTGAATAAACATAATAAATCCGTTGCACTATATACATCATCATGTTGCACTTTATAAAACAATGTGTTGCACTTTATCACCGGAATCCACAATTAACGTCTCCTGCCAAAATACCACACACCATAAATCTAAAAAATGGATATACGTAATATTTTAACATCAATTACATCAGTTGTCCATGTAAAACACAAGCATGGTAACGTACTAAAATTACAGTAGTTCACCTTATACATCAACACGTTGCACTTTATATATCAATACGTTGCACTTTATAACACAACATGCTGCACTTTATCACAAGTCACAACACTCCACCATTAAACTCTGGTCAAAACTCCGCACAACATAAAGTGCACTTTATACATCAACACATTGTACTTTATAAAACAATACATTGCACTTTACGACTATAAGTTCGCATGAATAGAGAATGTAACCAACCAAACTCATTCTTTTTAAACCTAAAATAATATAAAAATAATAAATAAAATTGTTAGTGTATTAAAAATAATTTTAATATAGTTAACGAACTATATAGATAATTTAGAATAATTCGGTTAACCAAACCGAATAAACCAATTAATTATGTTCATTTTTAATTTGATTGGGATAAAAGTTCGGTTGGTTCAATTTGCACAATACATACTGACATCGTGCACCAAATCGTTGGACGAATTGCACCTTAATAACTATTATATTGCACTGTATAATTCGTTTACATATATACTAATATTTTTAAAAAATAATATAAATTAATGATTATATTGAATACATATTATTTTTTTATAATAAATAATATATTTTATGTCGGTTATTTTAGTTATTTGGGTTAACCGACAAATTAAACCAATTATGTCAAAATTTTCAATTTGAAATTTTAAATTTAACCTTGAAGCGCATATTTATACAACATCGTGCAATTATGTTATCAAAAAAATATATTTTTTTTAATAATTTCGAAGACACATGACATTATTTTTTAAATTGCACACCTACACAAAATATTGTACATCTAAGGTGTCATTATTATGCATAAATTAATTTACATTAAATTATAAATTGCACTTCATAATAAAATATACATATATTAAAATTTCAGAAATTGCAAAATAGACCCTAAGGATTATCTAATTGTCATTAGAAAAGCCCCAAATCAATTAACACACACCACAATAGACTGTTCATCTTCTCCGATCAAAGGCCCCAAATCGATTAACACACACACACCACGCTAGACTGTTCATCTTCTCCGACCGGAGGCGTCTGAATCCTCGGAGTTCTCAGCTGCTATGTGGATATGGTGGAGAACGACGGCGGAATGTGACGGGCGAAGATGGTGACGATGGCAGAATGTGGCGGGCTGAGATGGTGGTGACGGCGGCGGGGCTTTGGAGCCGCCTCTGCCAGACTGAGGATGCGCGGAGACTGGGTTGAGAGGCGCAACGGTCGACTGGGGAGCCGCAGAGGCCGATCTAGATATGCGCGACGGTTGGTTGCGGAGTCGCCGCGGCCAAGCTGAGGATACGGGGCGGCAGGTGGCGGAGTCGCGCGGCCAGGTTGGTGATGCGCGGCGGTGGGACTATGCAGGTGGGCCGGCCGGCGGACGGGGGTCGGTCTGCCGGTTGGTGACGGTGGCGACGAGATCTGACGGCCGGTTGCCGGCGGCGGGCGGAAGACGGCAACTGCAGTGGTGGTGCCGATTTGGTGTGTGTTTTCTGTGATTATGTGTGTGCATTTTTTTGAGGAGAGAGAAAAATGTGTGTTGAATTGATTTAATGAGTGGGTCCCAGTTTATATGTTTACCACTTTACCCTTAATTATTGGTCAAATACAAATATTTGACCACATTATGGTCAATAATTACCAGATTGGCATTAATGATTGACCATAGTTTGACTTCATCATAACCATTTATATGCTTGATCCCATGATCCAAACTTATTCTCATTTCTCGCATTAAGAGTCATTCTCGATCCTCTCTCTATCTATCTCTCTCTCTCTCTCTATATATATATATATATATATATATATATATATATATATTTAGGAAGTGGTTCAAATGAGAACCAAGTCCTAGCGTAAGAACTGTGAGAACCGCTATTTTTAGTTGTATGAAGCGCTATGATTGATTATGCTTTAGTGTTATTTTTAACCAGGATATATTTTATTAAAAATAGCAACACAATTTATATTAGCATTTGTGAAAATGATAGCACCATGTGATAATAAAAATAGCATCATACACAAGTAAAAATAACATCAAATATGGTTCTCACATCAAGAATAGTTTTTATTTCAACGAATTCCTATATATATATATATATATGTATATATATATATAGGGTCACGCTCCGGTGAGAATGATGCTTAATGCGAGAAATAAGAATAGATCATAGTCATTAGATCGAATGTTCTATTGGCTAAAAAAAAGTCAAAATTACATCTTCATTAAGGGTGATTTGGACATTATCATTATACTCATTACCACATCACCATGCCACATCATCATCCCCACACACAAAACACACGCATACACACGCCACACACACACCCGACACATGCACACACACATTAAACACACGCACGCACACAGTACGCATATAATCTCTTACACACACACACACACACACTACTCACACACACACACAGACGCACACACACACACACACAACACACACAGACGCACACACTGACTGCACACACAAACACACAGTGAACCCGACCATCAGCAGATGCTCGACCACCCACCGGCGGCCGCCGCTCAAGGTTCGTCGGCCACATTCTTTTCCGGCGAACGTCGTTCCATCTCTACAACCATCGCTCCATCTCGGCCGCATCACTTTCTGGCGGAACACACAGTGAACCCAGCCACCACCAGATGCTCGACCACCCCCGGCGGCCATCGCTAAAGGTATGGCGGCCGCATCCTTTTTCCGGCGACTGACGTTCGATCTCTACAGCCGTCGATCCCTCTCGACCGCATCCCTTTCCGACAGCCGTCACCTCTGGCGACAACAACCGGAGAATTCCTAGACGCACGACAGCGGTCGAGAGAAGTGGCACCGTGGAGGTATGTTTCACGCATGATTCCAACGACTATCTACGCGGCAGAGATAAATTGGACGATGACAGTACTTGCTGAGATGGATTGACAGGGAAAAGCCGGATCCGGTTCGATGCCGGACGAATTGCGTCGGAGATGGCAGTGAGTGACGGGAGTTTGCAGATTAGGACTAGGGATTTTAGGGGTTTTTTGATTTTTTTTTTTTTGAAAATTGGATCATTTTGAGGGACCTATTTGTAATTTTAGTAATTTTGATTATTTTCAATTTAATTCATAGGCAAATCTGTAATTTATAAAAATATATTTAGAATGTTATCTCTTATATATATTTTTTATACACATTTCTATATTATATTTTAACCAAAAAATAATATAAAAATAATAAAATACTAAGTATACTTTTTATAAAAATAAAATATGAAATATTCCAATTATTTAGATTAATTTGATGTAAAATTATATATACTTAATCTAGTTTCAGAAAACACATAATTTATATTGAATCATATAAAATAGGGCAATTTATATATCAGCATGTTGCACTTTATAAAACTACACGTTGCACTTTTATAGAACAACACATTGCACTTTATGCAATCCAGAATTATTGCGATAGCTTCCTCGGATTGTATAAAGTAGGGCACTTTATATATCAACACGTTATACTTTACAAAACTACACGTTGTACTTTATAAAACAACACATTGCACTTTATGTAATTCAGAATTATCGCAATAGATTCCGCCAAAATACTACACATCATTAATCTAAAATTATATCTACGTACTAATTTAACATCCATCACATCATCCGTATACGGAAAACACAAGCATACTAACGTACAAAATTGCCGTAGTGCACTTTATATATCAACACGTTGTACTTTTTAAAACATAACGTTGCACTTTATAAATCAAGACATTGCACTTTATCACGACATTCCACAATTAATGTCGATAACTCCCACAAAATACCGCACAAATACATCTAAAAAAAATAGATCGACATAATATTTAATATATTTTGTTATATTTTGTTAGCACATATATTTTAGGTCTTTAAAAAAAAACAAAATAAAAATCTATATGTGTATATGTATATATATAAATATAATGCTAAAATGTTAAATATATTTTTATAATATAAATAAAAAATCATTGTGATTAATTGTGGTATTTTGATTAACTGATAGAATAAATTGATTATGTCGGTCCATCTTTAGTTTAGTTCAATGTGAATCATAAAAAATGAATACAATGTGAGTGCACAATATTATTAGACGAGATGCACATTTATGACTATGAATTACATAATAGCTACTGAAACCGAATAAATTAATTTTTTTTATTTAAAATTTTATATTTTAGTTTGATTAGTTATATTTATTTTTAAAATCGCAATTATTTAGTTCGATGTCGGCTTTATTTTTTTAAGATAACCAAAATAACTTAAATGGCCGTATTATATGAAATATATTATTATTATTTTATATATTTTCAAGTATTGCGAGTGCACATTAAGGTTATATGTATTGCACGTTACTGATAATTGGATTGCACAATATCAAAAATTTTCCACCAAACTAATAATTTTATTTCAATTTTTTTAAATCTCGTTTCAATTGCCATTTTTTTGTTTTTAAGAACTCGATTATGCTTGTTTGATATCGTTTATTTTTTATTTAGAAAACCGAACAACCGAACTATATAAAAAAATACTAATTTTATTATTATATTTTTAATGTAAAGAGTTATTATTTTCCAGCCACAAATCAAACAAGCAAACAAAAAATACGTCTACATAATAACTACAATATTATATATTTATTCATTTAATTATTATTATTATTGACAATTGGGTACAAATTATGCATATGGAATATAACGGCCACAAGGCCCACAACCTACCAAACAACATTTAATTTCATATTAAATTATTGCTTATGACTTTTCAAGAAATAATTTTCTAGTTTTTTTATTAAATGTGCCAGTATTATGCAGCATACAATGAATAGTGGATGGGCTACTTTGAATCGTGCGCCTGAACATTAAATGTAAATATTTAAATCTTAATAAAATTTGATTAATTACAAATTAGCACATATGCCCCTAAAACTTTTCAATTTACAAAAATAAGGCCCAATCATAAATCTGAAAATCAATCCACTGTTCTTGCCCAGGCCGTCGTCGAGGAACTTACCCTACTGCCACCGGAAGACCTCACACAGTCCGACGACCACCTTTCCGATGTCAGACGCCTCCATCATCGGATACTTTGATTTCACCAACCAAAAATAATTTCAGGACTTACTCTCCGCCGCCGACATGCTGGCACTCGCCGTGACGGCCAAAGTGAAACTAGACTGGCTAGTCATCGTGGAGCTCGACGGGACAGTTTCAGAGGCGGAGATGATAACAGCGGCGACGGGATGGGCCGGGAAGATGGCGGTAGCGGACTGAAACTTCGACGAGGTTGAGACCTGGTGTGTGCAGTGGTCAAGTTGGGGTCTAACTGAGGACGGAGGCTGCGTCGATTGGTCCGGCAGAGGTCGGGTATGCCGAGGAATCAGGCGGTGGCGACTTCGCCGGCGACTGCGGCGGCGCCCTAGATGTAGGGATGTGTGTGTGCGTTGTTTATGTGTGTGCAGTGTGTGATGTGTGTGTGTTTGTGTGACTGATGCAGAGCATATGTGCCTGATTGTGTGTGTGCTTTGATTGTGTGTGTGCGTGAGAGAGAAACGTGTGTGTGTGTGAGGGAGATAGGTGAGACGGTGACGGTGAGTGGGTTTTGGGTGGGTCCCACTGGCAAGTGAAATTGTGATAAATGACATATTTATCCTTATTAAGTGGTCAAATACATATATTTGACCATAATATGTCCATTTATTTAACGTAATGCCAGCCCATGTTTGACAGCTATTATTAATATTTGACTTGATCATAGCCATTGACTTGATGAATCCAATGGTCCATGATCATTCTTATTTCTTTCATTATTTACCATTCTCATATGATCCCTTCTCTCTCTCTCTCTCTCTCTCTCTCTCTCTATATATATATATATATATATATATATATATATATAGGGTCGCACTCCAGTGCGAATGGTGCTCATTGAAAAAAATAAGAATACATCATATCCGTCGGATCGAACGATCCGATGACTTAAAAAAGTCAAAATTATACCTTCATTAAGGGCATTGTAGTAATTTTTACACCAAACAAAAAGAGGTGGACCCACTCCAAAAACTAACACCTGCCAACCACCCATTGGTCAACCACAGCGGGCCCCACCACTCTCTCACCCACCCCCACGTTACCCTCATTCTCTCTCACACACAATGTTGCACACAGTCGCCGATTATTTTTCACCCGTTGCTGGTTGTGTGCCGCCTGTCATCCGTCGTGAGCCATCCAGACCAGCATCAGTCGCCGTCGTCCTCAGCCGCCACAAACATCCTCAGCCTCCGAGAAGCCCCGACCCTTGCCGGCGCACATTATTGCTGCCCGATTCTCGCCGGAGTCGTGTTTAGCAGACGGCCTAGGCGCCGCCGCACGTCACCAGGTGCAGCCGCCGCCGGACATGGCGGAGATCCGTATTCCCGACGTTAAACTCGACTTCACCAACATCATCCTCCACCGCCAAGCTCTTACAAACCGGCAATCGACCATCGTCGTCATCGTCACCCTTACTCCACCTCATCGATTCAGATTCAACAGTGCCAAAAAAATCGACCTTCAAGCTTGAAGGTCGAACTTCAATGGCGGAATTTCAAAAAAAAAATAAAAATGCAAAGTCGCCGGACGTCAGCCATCCTACTTACAGGGCGAACGGCTAACAACCTTTGACAAAATCAATGCATGAAGTCGCCGGACGGGTATGGATGACAGCACTGTGGTGGTGGATTGGAGGAGTAACAACCTGAAATTGAATTGTGTGGTTGTGCCTTTTGATGAGAATTTGATTAAATACAGGAACCTATTTGAAATTTTAATAATTTAACTATATTTCAATTTAACCCCATGGGTCAAATCTGTAAATATTGAAAGTTAATAAGAAATAATTGTTTTATATATTTTGTTGTGCATATGTATTAAATAACAAGTAAATTATTAAATAAGATTAATTTAAATTATTAAAATATTTTATAATAATAAATAAATTATATAATAAAAATAATAAATGAAAAGATATTTTAATTAGTTAGGTTAATTAGATGTAATATATCTATTAAAAATAGTTTTCAGATACACATGAGAAATTATAAATTGATGCACTTTATATATTGGAATATTGCACTTTATAAAACAACACGTCGAACTTTATAAAACAACACGTTGCACTTTATAACCAATGTCAACAACCCCCGCCAAACTATTATGCAATAAAAATATAAAAAACGGGGAGACATAATAATTTGCTATCAATCACATCATATATCCACGAAAAAAAAAAATCCTCTTAAAATACCAGAATTTCAGTATTGCACTTTATAGATCAATGAATTGTACTTTATACAGTAGTACGTTGCACTTTATAACACAACACGTTCCACATACTAAAAGTACAATAATTCTAATGATTGGTCGAATAATATTAGTTGGCGAATGTCGGATTTAGTTATTTTAAAATAAACAAAATAACCGAATTACCAATTTCTTTTTATTTATTTATATTTACTTATTATAAATGATACTATTTTGTTGTCTATATTTTTTACGTATTGAGATTGCACATTAGGATTATACGGATTGCACATAAATGTCTATCAGATTGCACAAAATCGAACGGTGTCTGACAAACAAAAATTCGGTACAAATTTTTGTAATTTGGTTCTAGTATTATTATTATTTTATATATCGGAAATTTCGGTACGATGATTTTTTTTTAAATAACTGGAATAAAAACCAAACTATATTAAGAAAAATATTATTTTGTAAATTTTTTATATAATAGCGACCACAATTGACAAGACTAAGTGTTCGATTCGAAATTTTATATTATTAACAATTATCTATTTTTACTTTTCATTTTAAAACAATTACTATGATATTATAAATATAGATAATAAGTTAATTCAGTTATTTCGCTTAAGTCAAATGACTTGCCTAATAAATTGATCATTTATGTTCGATTTTAATTTGGATTTTGATGAAAAATACCACCGGTGCGGTTAATGGCTCACAGTCGTGCACATTTATGATCAAAGCCAGTCACATTATTGTTATGCAAATAGCACATTAATGTCTCACGGGATGCACATTAGCAATCGAAACTGACCTAAATAATATGTTCGATTCAAAACCTTATATGTTAGTTCAAATATAATTTTCAAATTTTAAAAGTTCATTTATTTGCGTTAGCTGTCGGCTATAGATTTTAAAAATTACTTATCACTATCTTTATATTTATTAAATTATTAATCATTTAGTATATTAAGTTATTAATAATTTAGTATATACATTTATCTCACTAATTAATTTATGTTATAATTAACTTTAAAAAAATTACAAAATAATCCCTATCATTAACTTAATTTCCATAAAACTAGCCCCTAAATCAATTCACACCCAAATCACTTAAAATTAGATTTCACCTACATCATTCACACAACCAATTCACACCATTCCTTCTTCACAAAGATCAGCGAATTGTTTGTACCAAAATCATAATTCACCCAAATCATACAATTTTTTTCACAGACAGAGATCAGCGAAATATTTTGCACCAAAATCAAAATTTACCCAAATCACACAAAATTTTCGCAGAGAACAGCTAATTAATTTGCACCTAAATCAAAATTCACCCAAATCAAGATGCAATTCCTCAGCCCCATAGCATATCCGGCCGCTGTTTCCCATCTCCCGTTCAGATCGCCGGCGAGCTCGTCCCGTTCAGGTCGCAATCCCTCTACTATTCCTCTGTGTTAGATTAGGGAATGACTGATGGAGAAGAAGAGTTGCAGAGAGAAAAGAGAAAAGGGAAAATAGTCTGCGATTGTATTGAACAAAATGAAAATGAAAAATTAGTTAGGGTTTACACTTGGTCTCAGGTATTTATACCTTAGTATGATAAAATGCTATTTACAAATCTAATAGGAATAATACAAGAGTTGCTATATCAAATGACAACTAATCAAATGACAACTAATTACATATATATTAATATCCCCCCTCAAGGTCAACATGGATATTCTGAATGTTGAGCTTGGAAAGTAGATGGAAGAATGCAGATGCTGATAATGCTTTGGTTAGGATGTCAGCCACTTGATCTTGGGAAGGAATATAGTGCAGTTTGATGATGCCTTTGCTTATCTTCTCTCTTATAAGATGGCAGTCAATTTGTATGTGTTTAGTCCTTTCATGAAAAACTGGGTTGCTAGCAATAGCCATGGCTGATTTGCTATCTGTAAATAGAGAAACTAAAGAGCAATGAGAAATAAGGAAATCATCAAACAAGTAAAGGAGCCACTGAATTTCACAGGATGTACTAGCAAGAGCCCTATATTCTGATTCAGCTGATGATCTACTAATTGTAGATTGTTTCTTTGATTTCCATGATATAAGAGAGTTTCCCAGAAATATAGAATATCCAGTTATACTTTTTCTACTATCTACACAACTTGACCAATCACTGTCACTATAAGCATTCAAGGATAATGAAGAAGATCTGGGAAAGAACATACCTTGGCCAACAGTCCCTTTTACATACCTTAAAATCCTGTGAGCAGCAGCAAGATGTTGTTCTGTGGGACTAACCATGTATTGACTAAAGGATTGAACACTAAAAGCAATATCAGGTCTAGATATGGTAAGATATAATAGTCTACCAATTAGCCTTCTATATGCAGTTATGTCTGTTAAAGCAGGGGAAGTAGATTGACTAAGTTTTAAGTTGCAGTCCATAGGAGTTTTAGCAGGTTTGGATCCCAAAAAACCAGTATCATCAAGGATATCTAAAGCATATTTCCTTTGACACATATTAATACCTTTTGAAGAATGAGCAAACTCAATTCCTAAAATGTATTTCAATGTGCCTAAGTTTTTGATTGTGAAACAGGAATCCAAATGTTGCTTGACATTAGTAATGATAGTCAAATTGTCACCAGTTATGATAATGTCATCTACATAAACTAATAAAGCTGTAAATGAACCATTATCAGACATAGTGAACAAAGAAGAGTCTGCAACAGATTGTTTAAAACCATAAGTTAACAAACAAGAAGTTAATTTTTGAAACCATTGTCTGCTAGCTTGTTTTAAACCATATAAACTTTTAGTCAACTTGCAAACCCTGTTATCTGAAAAATTTGGCCTTTTTCAGACAATATCTATCTTTTGCTTTTGGCCTTTTTCCTTTTTATGCTGAAAAATTTTAACTCTTATTAATGATCTTGAAACTTGTAAAAAATACAAGAAAATAAATTTTTCGGAAACGAAATCTGACTTAATTATCGACT